CTAAAAAAGTCCTATGAGGAATAAAATGTAGTGTTTAAAGCGCGTTTTTTTAAATTTATTTAATGTGTATTTTTACGTTATTTAGGTTATTAATACTTCGTTTCGGGGACTGAAGCAGCACCTTTATTTTTTTCAATTTCCCAGGTAAATTTTAAAAAAAGCATAATACCACCCCCCCCCCCCCCCTCCCCAAAAGAAAGTAATATTCGACGATTTGAAATTATGTCAAGAGACTACTCAATCAATATTTTTTTCTGCAGATCCATGCATATTTTTAATAAAGCCAATAAACTCAACTACTCGAAATCTAAACCGAAACACAAGCACGGAAGTTCGTGGCCGGAAGTCCCGCGGCTACACCCGACTGTTTTTTGTTTGTTTTTTTCCCGCTTTTTTGGCGTAATTTGCGTGCACCGTTCGTAGTGCGATTACTTCGAACTTACATCTCTTCCGCTCGCTGTTCTCTGCGTTTGAAAATCGATCGGTCTTTACCGCGAACAACAATTCCGAAGTAGCGCTCCCCACATCCGTCGCAACGTTGGTCCGTCGTTCCCCGCCACCGCGTCGTCCAGAACGCGACACGTTAACACACTGAGATGGACGTGCACAAGTACTTCCTGTGATCTGTGCAACATTTTTTTTGTCGATCAGCGTGTTTGCATTTTTGGAGGCCACGAAATTGGTGTTCATATCATTTCTATTTTAATGTTGGATGTGTGCCTTAGATAACCCACGACCTTCAGTGTGTACAGATAGTTTGAACGCCACGTAATCATTGAAAAGCGCGATTCAAACCCGCCGATTCTCGACCGGCTGTTTCCGGGAGGTAAGGAAACGAATTTCAAGCCGCAAATTATGTTCTGAGTAGTTGGACTCTTATAGGCCATGTTCAACTAGAAACCTCGGCGAGGATAAATACCCTGTCATTGTCACTTTAATAAAAAAAAACTGGGTGGTCGCGTGGCATCAATTTTCTCGCTAAATTTAGCAGGGAAACTAAACTGGTATATAGGTCACGATACATCAATTTTCCTATTAGATTTAAAGGGGAAATTGTATTGATGTATCACGTGCCGTCAGGTCACGCGACGTTAATTTTCGCTTTCAATTTACGACTGAGTTCATCCCAAACTTGTGAAACAAAATACTGCCACGTCATGCCTCTAGGCTGCACTGTACAGCTGGGTCTTGCCACCTTGCCATGCTTGACAGCTATGAGGCCCAGGCCCAGGTCAAGCAACCTTTAGGAGCAGGATTTCCTTTGTCCGTTTTGCATGGTGTCTCTTAGACACTCTTCAAAAGAGTCAAGAGTGGTTCTCAAGACCCAAAAGTAAAGCCCGAACAAAGGCCACAGGTGATTCCATATCTACGTAAGGTTTCACATAATTTTTTAAAAGGGGGGAATCGGTTCAATGTGCTAATGGTGTTCTCGGCGCCTCGCAAGTTGGCACAACTTTGCCCGCGCGTAAACCAGGCCAATCAGGCAAAAAGTAACAAGCGGTCGAGCACGGTTAAGCATGCCAACAAGTTCGTAGATTGCGTGGTAGGTGTCATCTACACAATTCCGTTGTATCCTGCCGGGTTTATATAAGGTAATCGGGACGCTGTGTCAGTGAGAGAATGTTCGAACATGCCCTCTCCTTAGGGCCAATGACCGAAGCCACCTATACGTAGGCTTCAGAGACTGTCTGTGTCATTCTACCTTCGACGATATCGTAATTATTTCCAGGGGGCGTGCAAAAGTGCAAAAAGAGGTGCTGGAGGCGCATGCAATAAAAAAAGCTGGCTCAGGGCACTGCGTCACCCCAGCCTTCAATTTATCTACACAAAAAAGAGATACATTTTATAGATGCCTGGTGAGCGACACGGCCATTGGTTGTTACGGCGTTGGTTGGCTTTGTGGTGTTTTCATGTTTGAGCCGTTTTTATTTAATAAAACTTCAGTTGAAAGTCAGCGCCCGTCCTGTGCTCTACTCTCGTTGTCCTCGTCTTTTTGCGCGCTGTTCCTAATTTCTCTCAATCTAGCGCGAAAACTGAAGGTGTATAAGTCAAGTGACGTGAAGTCACATTGCTTCAATTTTCCCGCTAAATTTAGCAGAGAAACTGAAGTGGTGTATAGGTCATGTGGCGTCAGGTTATATATCATGAATTTACTCGCCTTCACTGGTGGGGCAGCTTAATTTGTGTATAGATCACGTGACGGCACGTCACGTGACATAAGTAGACGCCAAGTTATCTGAACACGAATATAGTTTTCCCCAAAAATTTAGCGGGAAATGCACGGAAGGAAGAACGTACAAACATTTTGGTGTTGAGTGTTTCGTCCGCTATGACTCTGCGCATGGTGAACCGGCTAGCTGAAGGTCACACAGCAGATTTCTTCTTTTTTTATGTCTGAACATTATCAGTTTTGCAGACTTGTGCTTATCTCAAATACCCTACTCAAGATACTGTACTTCAATTACTTTTTGAAGTATCTTGGTATCTTGCAAATACTTTTGATTAAGAGTATTTAATACTGTATTTTAATTACATTTTCTGAGTATCTTGTGCTCATTTTCTTAAATACATTTTTGACGTTTCGCCATTTTCCGAGTTTTTCGGTATGAAGTGGCGTGGGCGCGGCACGAGCAAACGTGAACATTGTTTCGAGCAACCAAATCCTGTTGCTAGCTCCGATTAGCTACGGTGACTTAGATTGAGCTAGTGAAAACATCGCTTTTGTGCCGATTGTGACTCATATTTCAATTGTACGAAATATTTCATATTTCGTACAATGAAGGTTTTCCCCTCGCCTTCCGAAAGGCGCATTTTGTTTTCTAGAGTTGCCCTCTAAAAATCATGAAACAAAAGGGGTGGTTTTACGGAAGCAAAAATGACCACAGTGAGGCACAACGCAGAACGGGGAACAAACCACGACATCAATGCAGACTTCAGTATCAAAAAGATAACAAAAAAAACCGAAGAAAATGAGAAGTGGACACAAAAGAAGAAATTTTTTTTGCTTATTTCATATTTAACCCCGCGAGAGCAAAACGTCGAGTTTTTGTTTGTTTTTTTTTCTTTGTGCCGTCAGTCCGGCACTTATTGCTCTCGCGAACACTGTCTATAGGCGAACATTGATAACCAGAAAACAGGGGCCCTAAGCTTGACACTCGGCGAAAAGTCGGTGATATTTCTGACGGCCGCGATTGGCCAGCGCCAAGGTCAAGCGCAGCGCTGGCCAATCACGGCCGTTAGAAATCTCGGCGACATTCTCGACAAATGTTTAGCTTAGGGCCCCAGGACATGAAACGAACTACGAGCAGGATGACCTCTCAAAAAGCCAACGAAGCGTCCCCCAACGTTGAGTGCCTTTCTGAACGCAACCTACTTGAAGAAGGTGCGACCACTGCCGTGGCTATTATGTGGGTTCTCTTTGTTATCCATTCACTCATATCAGTATCCCAAGTTCGTTTATAGTGAACTCCCCATATAAGGAATATGAATTGTAGTTAAACGATGCGTCTAAGATGCGCTGCAGGACGAGATATTCAGCAAAATCACTAAAACTAAAGCAACCTTTTTCTTCTTTTTTATGTCTTAGAAATGTTTTGTAACATATGTCAGTGATATCCTGATCCTTAAAGTTAAGCTGCATAAAAAAACTAGGTTTTTGTTGCCGTTTTGTGTTGTTGTGTGCTAACAAACCATTCTGGTAAACCAGATTTGCGCAACTGTCACTGACGTCAATACAAATTACACAATGCGCAAGTATCTTCGAAAGTAATTGAATTACATATCTAAGTATTTGTATTCTACTCAAAATACTCTACAGTGAAATTAACTTCAGTAGTATTTTAAATACATTAGGAAGCAGGTACTTAGTAACTGAACTTAAATAATTTTATTGAGTATTTTGTCAAACACTGCAGTTTTGTCACTCGCCAAGCTAACTCCGCTGATTGCAGCGATAGGCTCCACCAGGGGCTTTGCAAAAAAAGCACACGGTCCAGGAATCTTAGAGAGCAGAGGCAAATTGAAAGAGAGCAGTTGGTGCTTATGAACACTGAATGCCCTTTCGTGACGCTTAAGGCTGTCATGATCTGACGTCGAGCGTGTGTGTGTGTTTGTGTCGGCGATGTAGTTCCCAAAGGGAACAGAGACGATAATGTGTGCGGGTGGACAGGCCTGTTTGTCACCGCCTCATCGTTCCTTGTGAAGCTAGAAGGCTGGTTCGCAACCTAGTGAACCAGCCTCCAATCAAACGCGACGTAAGGCAGCGGACACAGATCCTGATTGGTCGCAGAAGTCGAGTTTCTGCTCGTCAACCAATGAAACGCGCGCGTCATGCGCTACGTTGCGTTCGCAGCGCTCAAGGTCGGAAATAAAAGAGCCTTCAACGGCGCGTTCTCCGGCCTGACGGATGAATCCCAATTCCTATCCATTGCATTGTTTCCATGACGAGGGATAATGTCAAAAGTTAAGTTTGTAGGACTGACCACAAACACCTCAGGTCGGCCTGCCACCTCCATAAAACAACAGAATGCGCATAAGCGAAACATTTTGAAGTTGAGTGACTCGAGCATGTTGCAACGCTCAAGTCCCACAATTTCTCCGCGACCTCTCAGAGCACTTTTCGATATCGTACAGCACGTCCATTACCAAGCGACAAAGGTCATAACAAATACTTCAATGTACGTCATGAGGTTATGAGGTCTTGAGGCGACTGGCATATGCTCGAATAATGGATGTAGGCAATACAACGCAATAGCTTTCAAAGCACTCGAGAGAAAAATCTTTGTTAGCCAAGAACGTTTGAGTGACGTGCTCTTTAAATAACACGCCCGTTTATAGGCACCGCGCCGTCTTAAAGTATCTCGTGGAAACATGGAAATAAGCTAACTTTGAAAGGATGGAAATCTCCAAATACAAGAAACAGACCTAAAATGTCACTGGTTGGAGATTTAAGTCAAGAGCTCTTGCACACCCTGGAGGCTTTGCCGATTGTCTCGACCACTCAACGAGTCGGGGGCAGGAATACCAGTATGCTTGCTTGGAAACTTGCCATCTGCCTGCTGGGCACTGCTACAGGTAGGGTAAACAGATTAACTGCTATTCAGCCACTGGCAGCTTAATATGGCACTCAAATACTTTCTGTCGAAGATTGTTCTTGATTGCATATTGTTTGTTGGACTTTAGTCCTTTAAAAGCAAGAGTTCTAGACGGCAAGACGTCTTGGTAAAATCGCAGCAATAGAACTACGCAGCCACAATCTTTCGGGTCCCACCACCTACATACAATTTGACCACTAAAAATAGTTGATTGATTGGAGATTCCGAAGTTTATTATTATTGCTATTTTTACGTGAATTGTGCATTATATTCTCAAAAAAAAAGTAAATTCTTTGGGTGGTAAGACACGTAACAAAGAAATTGTTCCTTGGAAACGCCGTCCGACGGCGCCCGCTGGTGTCTCCTCTAAGGAGCAGAAAGAGGGTCCTGTGTCGCTATCTTTGATTATGTTAGGAAAATCGGCCGCCCCATGAGTGTAATTTCTTATTTATTTTTTTTAAGCATGTTTAAAGCGTGTAAATTGAGTTATTACCATAAATAGACAATCTCATAATCCCCTGCAGCGCCCTTTTCAGAAACGCAGGTTGTGGTTAATTATGTACACGATCCTTCTTTTGTGATTGGTCCTTCGTCGTCCTTACTTGCTAATGCCGCATTTTGATTTTCTGCGGAGCTATATTACCTATTAGGGCCGAGCATCGAGTAAAAATTAATTAATTGATTAATTGGTTTCGTCCATTCCATTGCATAATAGCTTTTTTTTTAAAGTCAAAAGTACTTTTTTTTTTGCTGAATATCTAATAAATCGCAAAATGTAAGATTTCAGACTTTAAATCAACTTTGATGTGTAGTTGAGAACAGTGAAACGACACCAACTCACAAGTTTTCACTTCAGCCGTATGAGGCAAAGAAGCTTATTGATATTCTTCGGAATTGCGAACTGCTTTCATCGTTCACAACAGTCTCTGCTGCGGTAAACGGATACTCGCATGGCGTTTACCTGGCAGGGCTACGTGTAACCTTCACCACCCTTGTTTGGACTTACAAATCTTGCCCCTACAGTTTACCTTAGGTCAAAATTTTACCTAAAGTTTGCCTTTCTACAGGTGCATTCGTCCACGTCCGCTTAATAAAAGCGTTATGTTTTTTTTTTTTTTTGCTACATTTATTTGATCTACTGGTTAAAAAATACATCGAAATTACAGCATTAATCGAGTAATGGGTAGGTTACTCCATAAACTGCCCAGCTCTAATCAGACCATCTTCGGGACTCGCCACACACTGTCTTAATTGAGTTGTCAGAGACCATAGGAGATGCCATCTGCGCAGCTGCACCCAGGAATCATAACGCCACAAATCATAGCAGCCTGTTCATTTATTTATTTATTCCCCCTAAAGGCCTTCACGGGCATTGCATAGGGGGTACAACCGTACAGTAACGTGAAAAACAAAAGCCAAGCAGCAACACACACACAAAGAAAGATAAAATGTATGCATGCAAAATAAAACATATTTTGATACATTCCGGCAATTTCAGTAGTAATTAAGATATATGCGTTAAAAGGTTACCATAAACATAGCTGCACAAAACAAAAGACGAAAATTTCAATTCCACCTAGCCTACTCAAACAGCATTAGGTTTACCGTGGCAACAAACGACTCATGATCACTGATGACGGCAATTTCTCTTGGAAGGCTATTCTAATGTGAAATGGTAAGAAGAGGCGAATTTTGGAATTTATTAGTTCGTGCATATATGGGGTCAATTTAAAGAAAAAAAAGTTATCTGAACGGGGCGATATATGGTTAGCTAGCCGTAAGAAAACATCTAAAAGCTGATGGGCTATGGTAGAGTTTGTGAATAAATTATAGGCGCGCAAGATGCGTTCTATAGTATGAAGGAGTGATAAGTCGATATTTTAATCCGCTAACACTATTAAAGCGGGAGTAGTCACGAACTATGAGACGAGCGGCTTTGTTTTGTAGTGATTCTACATTCTCTCCCAGATATAATTGGTGAAGATAGTAAATAAAGGATGCATACTCTAGTTGAGATCTAACAAGAGCAGTGTAGACAACGAGTTTTGTTCCTGTCTTTGCTTGGACGAGAGTGCGATTTAAACTTATTTAATTTCGATGCACACAGCACTGAACCATTGGCGCTTCGATATTAAGTATAAACCGCATGCAAGCGTTTCGGCGAGCAACGAGGCAAGCGACGGCGACCCGCTTCGCTGTCGCTCGGTCAATCGCGCGACGAGGCAAACTGCATGGAAGCGACGGTAGCAAGCGACCAAGACGGTGAGCGACGTTTTCTAGAAATCTAAAAACCGAACGACGCGACGGGTGACAGTGAGAAATCTTCGTCGCTGATTCTCGTAATGGTCGCCGTCGCTCGTGTCGTCGCTCGCTAAAGCGCTTACATGCGGTTCGGATTTTACTTACGGAAACGGTGTCTAAAGCGCGCACATGCAGCGAGAAGCACGACTGTGATAGCCTTACTGCGTCAGTTGAAATTTTCGGGTTCCGGAAGAAATGTCCCCGGAAAAAACGTCCCCGGAAAAAATGTCCCCGTTAAAAAAGTCCCCGGAAAAAATGTCCCCGGAAAAAAAGGCCCCAGGTGAAAAATAGGAAAAAATGTCCCCAAAGGGACATTTTTTCCACTTCAAGTTTTTGACTTTTGTGTATGAATCAAGAGTTTGTCATTTCATTCCTGATTTTGCAACAGTGCATCTCAACTGTTTGTGTTTGTTTTTCATTGTGAATAAAACATTCATAACGCTTCTAGCTAAAACCAAATTATTGTGTCGGGAAATTTGAGAGGTACTTGTGTACCCTTTCCCAAATAGGTAAAAAGCGCGACACTTAACACGAACAAGCAATCGCTAGTTGTTTTTTTTTTTTTTAAGGGGCGAAGCTTTTTAGGGTTTAGCCTTGTCCGTCCGGCGTCCGTGCTCACATCGATTGCCATCCCATCCGTCTTCTTAAAAAAAGAAAAAATGTTTGCGCAGTCGACAGGATTCAAACCTGTGCGGGAGACCCCAATGGATTTCTAGTCCATCGAGACGAGTAGGGGCTCTGAGATGTGGTAGTAACTCAAGAGCTGGGGATGTCATGGCTGAAACGTTGCATGTAGCCGCTCAACGTCTATACAACAGGGGGCGCTGCGGTCAAATGCGTATGTAATCGCGTTAAACTTTGCATGCATTGGATCAACGTTTATAGAGGAGAGGGCGGAGGGCGCTGCGGTCAAATGCTCAAATGCGTATATAACCACGTTTTATACCACACATTCTCTTTCTGATATGGACGTGGAGATGCTTTCCCACGGCACCCAGCGGATCCAAGCTGGTCCGCTAGAAGAACCACTGGCTCTGCATTTCACCGACCATAAAGCAGTAATAATAAAGTCGAAACGCAACCCGGGACCCAGCAATACCTATGAGCAATAAAAACAAATTAGCACCATCAGCACTACCTATATGAACAATAAAATCAGTATCATCAGCACCACCAGAGCTTCGCCCCAATCAACATAATTCAACACGTGGAGATGCGGTCATTTTTTTATAGAAACGAGAGGTTAATTGTCATCAAAGGTATTATAGGTATTGAAGGTGCTTATTTGGGGATATAATGCAAACGGTAACATTTCGTTCTCACTAATCCTCTTTCGGAGCTGTTTTCCCCTACCTGCCACACGGTGCCTTTTTTCCCAGGACATCTGACCGGACCGCCCGAAGCACATGAGGATCAGGGAAACCCAGAGATAGAAAATCCTTTCGGGACATTTTTTCCTATTTTTCATCTGGGGCCTTTTTTTTCGGGGCCTTTTTTTCCGGGGCCTTTTTTTCCGGGGACATTTTTTCCGGGGACATTTATTCCGGGGACATTTTTTCCTACACCCGAAATTTTCATATGTTGCAATGGTGTTGACTGCCCTTTATTAGCGACAAAAACGCAAGAATGTGATGAGCCTACATGGTCTCTGAAGCCTAGGCCGAAATCTTGCATCGTCGATCCATTCGCTGTCCGATTCCATACCATAAATAAGAAAATACAAGAGCTATGTTGAAATATAGATATCACAAGATCGAATGAAAGCCCAAAATATCAAAAAGACCTGAAGAAAACACACGTTTTTTACGCGGAACTCAAAAGAACACGAGAACAAAGCTCCGGTGGCGGCCGGCGCAGCACACACGGCGAGATACTGAAGGTCGGCTATGGCGGCCCGGAAAGCGCGAGGAGGGCGCGCCGACTGGTGGCAGCTCCAGTAACTGACTCCGTGAAAGCGTCTGACCAGCTCATTCGCATAACACTCCGTACTTTCCAGTCTTTTTCAGCATGGTCAAGCTAGTGTGACTCGTTCCAGGAGCCAGGATCGGGGAGGAGTACGTGTACCCCCGGATCCTGGAGGAGAGATCTTCAGATGGCCTCAAGCTGGTGTCCGTCGACGGGAAGAAGATTCTCAGGCTGGAGAAGGCGTCCGTGCTAGCCGAGACCCTACTCGTGACGTCATACGACGGGAACGGGCAAGTGACGCACACGACGGTGAGTACACGCCATGCCCCATGGGAGATTTATCCATACCAAATCAAAACTAAACCAACTCTTTCTAGCGTTCCTCCTTCTAACGTGTATAATTAAACATGATTGTAAACCTGAGACTGGGGCAGGAAGAGAACACAACAGAAGGCAGTAAAAGAGGAGGCAACGTCTCAAACTCAGCTGCAAAGTTTATTTCGAACACGCTTTATATACCCATCTCCAACGCCGTCTCTACAATAAAACAAAAAAAAAAAACACACATGACAAGAGGACAATGACACTTCGGTTAACCTTCTCTTATCTCTCTTCACCTTGGCTGTGGTACACTTACAGAAAGGGACACATTCTAGCATAACCACCGCTACCCGGCGAACGTAGGTGAAAACACTGCTGAACAGAAAGAAAGGGTTTGACCTTCAAAGGTGCGTTCCCACTTACAAATCACTCAGTCCAAAGAAACAATACTATACACTGCTACCAGCCGGAACTGGGGCCATCTCCAAAAATGAGAACGACATTGCCCTCCTACCACGAACCACAAATGGGTAACACAGCGACTTTCTCGAACAAGTCCAAGGATACACATATAAACAACACTAAAATTAAAAAAAAAAACTTTACAAGCGTTGAAATTGTTTACATTCGTTCGCAAACTGCAATGACGCCTGACTTATACAGTTGCCAGACGTTTTTATACGAATCGTTTCTTGGACTACACGTTTCATATCATTGTGTTCTTTGTGAATTACTTCCGTTTCGGACCAGTTGGCTTTACAATTATTACACTCTAGAAGGTCCCTCGCTAACTCGGAATTGGACGCGTTGTTTATCACATTCCGTTTGTGTTCCGTCAGTCTATCATTTAGACATCTCGACGTCTGACCTACGTATTTAAATCCACACTCCAAAGGAATCTCATAAACCACCGAATTCTCACACGGTACCGACTTCTCGCGATGTGCCTTCTGGCAAACTTCCTGTTTCGATTCAAAAGGTGTAAGCTTGCACAACTTAAAATCGGATGTAAACACAGTTTCTACGCCAAACCTTTTTGCCGACGCTTTTATGTTATGGGAAATATCGTGAAAATACGGTATAGCAACTCGTCGGTTCCTAACAGTTGGTTCATTCCGCTTGTCTCTGATTTAAATAGAAAGTTGCCGTTTTAGAAAAGTTTCATCATACCCCGCGTCCTCCAGTCTACCCCATTGTCTTTTTAAAGCTTGACTCATGAAATGGGTACATGACCTTTTTAGCGCATTACCAATAAATGATTTCGCAACTCCCGCCTTAATAATTTTAGAGTGACAACTTTGTCTCGGGAGCACCGGTTTAGCCATCTTCTTACCATTATCCCAACATAAACCATTTTTTACCTGAATGCGCAAGTCCAAAAACTGCAACATGTTCTCCTCTGGTTTTTCTACTGTGAAATGCAACTCCGAGGCCGTTGACCTAATAAGCTTTTCAAGATACTCCGACTTTCCTTCTTCAAACGTGCAGACAAAAATATCATCTACATATCTTCTGATGAAGCCCACGTTAGGTGACAACTCATTCATCCTGTCAAACAATACTCTATCCAAACTGTTGAGGTATATCTCAGCTAACAACGGAGCGACGGACGAGCCTATGCATACACCTTCTTTCTGGATGTATTTGCGATTATTATATTCGAGGACTGTTGACTTTAAATAGAGATCTAACACGGTAAGGAAGCTTTCCACTGTCACGCCCGATCCTGATTGAAACTTTACCAGATTCAACTCTAGCACCTCCTTCACGGCATTCATCAGCCTCTTCTTTTCCAGAGAATAATACAAATCTTTTATATCCATGGAGAATACCGCATACCTCCTCCCATGGTTGTGTTCTAAGATCTGAATGAGTTCTTCTGTGTTTCTCAGCGATAAGGATTTGTCTAAACTGACCTGACCTAACACATGCTGCAGAAACTTAGGCACAACTTTTTGCCACGTTCCGTTTTCGTTTACAACCACTTTGAGAGGCATCTCCACTTTATGGTCCTTTAGGAAAAATTTTAAACATAGGTACATTTTTGATTGACTCATTATGCTTTTGACAACTTGCTCTTTATCTTCTTCCTTTAACACTGTGCATATGTCCCTTCTCATCTTTGCCAACTTTCCGTTCCAGTCCTTGAACAATACACTCATGGCATTTTCTGCTTTGTTTTGAAATTCTTTCATCGGGAGGATACCAAACCTCCCCGATTTATCTGTTTGGAGTAATTTTAACGACCGTGAATCTATCTCATTCTTGACCATGTTTACATCCTTAAAATTCCTTTTTTCTTTCGGGTACATATCTCCCATGATTTTATCTAATCTCCCCACCGTCTGATCCAAAAAAGCCGTCTTTTCATCATGACCTACTACGCGCGCAACGTTTTGAACTGCGGAAAATACATCGAGTCTGGAAGGCCTCACATTGATACAAAATTTAGGTCCCTTGGATAAAAAACTTTCCGTTCTTTCTGAAATCGAAATGCTACAAGGGTTGACTACATTTAAACGCGATCCCGACACACACTGAGTATTACGCCATGCCAATGGCAAACAATTCTCCTTCCTCTTCATTATCTTAACAGAGTTCAAGACTTGCGTTCGCTTGACATACCAGATCCTGTGGAACTGTGCCCTCTTGATGCTGTCCCAGTGCTGGAACTCCTTGCGACGCCTGTAGTCCATTCCCAAGAGGAGGTCCCAAAGTCTGTTGCACGCCGTGTAAAGTTCTTGTATTCTCCTGGTGGCTCCTTCCCTGTAGACCTTGATAACTTTCTTCTTTGAACTCCAAGCAAAACCACTTGTTGATAGATGCCTGAACTGCGCTGGGTCGATGAAGTTCTTCCGCAACGAAAGCCCATAGTACGCTACATCCGCTTCCAGTTCCGCCAAACGAAGTGCCAACTTGTCCAGTACCATGTATGCTTGAAAAATTAGTATAGAAGACGACGAAGGAAGAGTGGTTTCATAAGAAAAAGGGATTAAGCCTGCTTCAGGTACGATTAACGAAAAAATAGTCAGAGTGCAGGCGGCAAATAATTAATTTATTCCGAGAGGTTGAAAAAAAAAATCTACTACAAACGTTACGCTAAGAGATGTTAACAGTGTTGTTTGCGATAATTTACGCAAATTCCTTAAATACATATATGCTTTTATTTTCGTCATTTTAGATTCAAGCCGAAGAAATTGAGAAGTACCACTACCGTGACCGCGACCAATACGCCTCCTTGATGGTGCGCGACACAGGGAATGGCCTCGAAATGGTAACAATAATACTGCCTTTTGAGTAATAATTAAGATACTTATTTGACACTGAGCTTCGGATACTGTAGAAAATGAAAGTGTGAACAGCGTTTGGCATCGTCACAATCATATTCGTTGACAGCTTGAGAAATGCAGTGCACGCTCACTATCGAATATATTAGCATTGCTTCGGGGTCAATGATACTGCTAAATTAACCATAAAGAACACCGAAGAACAACAACTTGAAGTATTGCGTTTCTTAAGCTGTCAGTGGTAATAATTTCGTGATTATATTCCCTACCAACCCGTAATTATAGAATTTCTTTTCACATACATTGATATATTATACAAAGAAAATGAATTAATGACTTGAGCCACCGAAAAGATTATTCGGCATCGCTAACCAATAACAACTCAGTTTCGCGGGAAAAAAGATACCATTGATCTGAGATACTGCTCCTTCTCTCCATCGGTTTTATTGACTGAAGGGACACCAATGAGTGGCCCTTAGGCTGTATTGCAAACCAGTTGACGCATTGAAGACCTTAGTATCGTGTGTATCCTCGAGTGGTTAGCGCAGCTGCCCGATGACATCTTCGGGGCATTTTGCAGCGGCGCTAGCTCTATCAACCCTTCTAAAAGGTTCCGCGAAACGATATTTAAAAACTAAATGCAAAAATAATAGAGTAAACAACTTTTTCGCCGTAGTTGTGATTATTATGTTGTTTCTGGGAAGGCTCAAAACTGCTTAAGACTATTATTATGTCAAAAGGGCCACGACATTCCATTTATACGTTCCTAAGAGACCGAAAGCAACCAGCGGTGCGCAGCCTTTAAGTTATATTCACTTATTAGTATATTCTGTACTTTACAATGGTAGCGGTATGCATAGGGTGTTTAGAAATGACTTGGTCAACCAGTGAAATAGCAGACGTAGCAACTATGATTCTAGTGAATTTGTATTGGGAAAGAAATCCCCCATAACTCCCAATATCTTCAAGAGGTCTCAACTGCATATTTTTAAACAATATCAATATTTTTTTATTGCGTCGAGAATTTAAAGTAAGTTTTAAATGATCATGTGATCTATTCAAAGCCTGCTCGACTTAAAAAATCGAAAAGTAAACCACTTAGTTGGTATTTCATTCCAGGAGACGTACGGCACGGGGGGATCGCTTTGCCTTCTGCTTTGAAAGACGTCAAAGAGAACGATTCCTTATAATGTAATACTGTCAATTTCTTAACCGACTGGAACATTATAATCTGGGGTGATTCACATGGTGCTTCAGTTGTCACGAAGTGGTCGACAGTTTTATTACTATCGACTTTCAGATATAATCGATATAGTCATTCGTTAAAATTAACAGTATGGCCGAATGTGCTCATTTTGGTCACAAACTTATACCGTGAATCATTTTGCTCCTGAATCTCCTCTCTGAGAAAAATACTGGAATATATCAGCCACATCTTGTGTTCGCTCTTACTGCTCCGCGAATAGAATCTCACAATATTACTGCATTTCTGTCTGCTCCGTAGAATATGATGTTCGTCAGCAAAGTTAGGAATGCTAGATTCATTAAAATGAGTAGTTCGGTAAATTGCGCAAGTTTTGTCACAAATTTATGGTGAAAATCTTGCGAATTTATATAAACGCACGGTTTTCTGTGAGAAAAATACTAGAAACAAAAGTGATCTGATATGGGTTTCGCATTCACTGTCCCACGAACTAACTGTATTCTTTGTATTTCGGTCTGTTCTATCGGATATAATGTTCGCCAGACAGGGATAGTGGACACTGTCACACGAATCGAACCTGTGCTCACAGCGCCGCGATCGTTGGACGGGTCCTTGCCGCACAGGTTGCACACCATGCCAGAGGAAGAATTGGAACGGCTCAAGAAGATCGGTGAGTTTAGAGCCCCAACTAAGTCACGCTTTAAGGCCGCTCTACACATTGACACTCAGCGCTGAGATAACGCCAACCCAGCAATGATATCAGTATTGCTGTTAGCGCTGCCTCAGCGCTGAGCTAGCGTTGCACTGTATGGTTTGTAAACAAGAAAATAGGAGCCACCTAGGCATCGGAACGTTTATACAGCGCTGGGTTATCACTGCGCTAGACGTGCTGACAGGCTTTAATAATTACACTTCGCCCATACATGTGCGTACGTAGAGCCTATGTTGCCAGTTCTCACCAGTTTTCGTCGACGTGCCTGGTGAAAGATGTGAAAAAAAAAGCTTTCCGTTCATGTGCTTTCTAAAATGGTTCACGACCGAAAAAAACGATGCTGCGATTAGTAGTCGCAACGATTTAGGACAACTGTCGTTCATTGCGACAGATGTATATGACCGCCTTGCCGCATCGGTCAATGGTACAGAGGAACAAAAATACTCGATGCGTAGCATTGTAATGACTCTAAATGAGTTCTAGAAAATGCTCAGTAACTCATCTTTATGTTTAAGACATACCTCAACGTAAGTCACTATTACCCGAAAAGGAAAATAATGTCCGCTAGTCTACGTTCCAGCATGGACTTCACTCCGACTCGGACTTGCTTGAAGCATCCGGAAGTTGGACATTTGTTCTGGAAGTTAGGAGCTTGCTGCGCCTTTCTTCAAAGTATGGTGGCAGTTAAACCATCCTGCTATTGAAACTCGGTGTTGCCACTTGTCTAAAGCTTTATCTCAAATCGCAAGAAAAGCTTTTCTGTCCTTCAGAAATAATAAAACAGTCCGGGACAAAGTAAACTGATATTGCCTGAAATAGCTTTCCTGACATAGTATCTAAAGCTGTGGAAGTATATTTGTTTAGTTGTGACGATTGCCGATTGCCATCGCTCTGCGCTAGGCACAAAAATAGCGTCACCCAGAAGAGAATCTGGAAAATGAGGTGCGGGTACTTTAAGCGTATTTTGGTTCCTTCTGGTGGAAGCGATTGTGTGAGTCTACAATTATCTGACTCTTTGGGTGATTCCTATGTTTCCTTTAGCATTAGATCACGAGATCGAAGAGCTTGAACGCGGATGTATAAGCCTAACCAACTGGAATCTCGAGTTACTCATAGGAGAAACGGTTTTATTGAAGATTTCTCTGTTCCGCTTGTGTTTAGTGCGCAACAGGCAGGTTATCCTGAGTCAAAAAAATAAAAGTCAATATCTTCAATAACTGCGTTCACAAGACCCGACAGGAACCCACTCAGGCAACAAGCCGCTTACTTGCGGTCGATAAAACCCGCGTGCTCATCCAATTCTACCTAGAAGAGAAGGCCTGCGTATGACGTCATCGTTAGTGGACCCCCTTTCCGCTCCAAGTGCCAAGCAGGCTGAAGCATGAGCGAGAGTGGCCGCGAAGTGGCACACGCGTCCGTCATGGCGTCTCCGCGTACCAGCGTCGCGCTCGTGAGACGCTATGTGCAGTGCAAGTTCGTCTGCTTCTTCAGGAGGTGTTGCCGTGACGTGAGAACAGCGAGCTCTGATTGGTTCCTTTAGGAAAGATAGTGTGTCGATCTCAAGGTGGCTAGATTAAGGTCTACCCACTATTTTTTTTATGCCAAAGTCAATCAGAGCCCGGAATTGTCCTGACGTAACCGCAACCCTTGTGCAAGAAGCAGACGAATTGCTCTAATCATGGCAGGCGGTGACGCCACGACGCACTCGCAGGGAGTGGCGAGCTCCATGCGTCTCATTATTCCTCTGCAGCCAATGAGATTTCAGCATTATTCGAGAAAGACGCCGAACGAGCAATCACGAAGTAAGAGCCATGTACGTAGTAAGCATCGGCCTTCCTTTCTTGAACTCTCAGTGACTATTAGCACCGAGATGTTTCGGTAACGCCCTCTTATGGTTTCCTTTGATGACGTCACGAACAGGATTTGCCTCACCGTGAACCGACGATTTCGCAGGCATTATCATAATAGAGGAAGCTATAGTTTGGCCAATCGCGAACTTTGACCAGATTGACGCTTTGGGTCACACACGTCGCAAATAGTGGGGATCAGTACTCTAAACACACCAATCGAACACGCCTTTTCAGGCATGCAGCTACTGTGCTCTTACGAGAAAGCTCGAGGCGTATATATAGATCTTTAATGTGTACTTTATCGAAATCATATGTTGTCATTTTATGTGACTAAAAAGTCACAATGTATTTGTAATTTATATGCCCAAAAAATTTGATGTACTATAGTTGCATGCCGCTTGCGCCCATTGTCGCTTGAAATGTTTTGTACAACCTCATGTACTTATGTATAAACAGTTAAACTGCGGCGATTAACTCAAATATACATGGCAAGAGGTCCATTAACCTCTCAAAAGCACACGTAATAACCTTTTGCGAAATTTCCCAAGCACCAAGGAGAATGCTGGGAACGTAGGGGAACGAGCTGCACGCGCTTGGCGTCTCAGTATAAAAAATTCGAAGTTTATAAACCAAAATAAGATGTTATTGAACACACGTGTAAAGCGCCATCTGCCTTTTTACATTTTTGTCTTAAAACAGTTACTGCTGCAGACGTCAGCGAGTGCAGCGTATGTAACATCATTCGCAGCAGGCTGCTTGGTGTTAGCACAACTCAGCGAAAGGTCTATTTCTTCAAAAAGTTTTGCAAAAAAAGAAAAAAAAGAAAAGACGTTGTGCAAATATTCTGGTTCGTCTCCAACGTAACCCGAACGGAAAAGGTTTCTTCGCAAAAATATGGGAGTCGCTCTGTTCGCTACTTTTGCTATCACAATATATGAACTTTTCCTCCCTACAAAAGTGTATACTTTTTGTTTGTATTTTGTTTAGATTATTCTGTGTGCGCGTTTTCTTATTTTTCATTTGCATCGGTAATTTTGTTTCTGCTGGCTTGTTCACTTCCGCCATGTCTTAATCTTCAAAGGTCGGCCGGCTGAGTTTTAACAAAATAAATAATAAATTTGTTTGGCGCGCTCAGTCCTTTGTAATTGACCCACCACATGGTCTTTTCGGAAAGTTAACATTTAGGATGAAGAGTCTATCACACAACTAAACATATGTTAGACAAATCCCGGTATTGTACGAGATGACATTTAGTGTATTTTATTTCGCGTTCGGGCGTCTTTCTTCCACGTTCCATGTTTTCCTGCTGACGTCATGGAAAGGTTGGCCGACGACTGACTTAACCCTTCCAAGGGTTTAACGGAACGTCATGCTTCTGTAAGTTTGAGAGGGAATTTCAAGTTCTATGTGTTTGGTCGCATGGTGTCGAACCGAACCACATCACGAACCAAGAACCGGAGCAAACTCGTTATTTTTGACCGAACTGTAACAAAACCATAACCGCAATTAAGCATTTACTATTAAACCCAAACCAGACTGTTACACTCTTAGAAATAGGGGGTGTATCGGTGAAACCCCTTGTACCTTATCTAACACCCCAAAACTACATTTGGACGTTCAGTGCACTGACCACGAGCCGGCGATACCTACTTTTCCGAGTGGATTGATAGCTGTTGGATATAACGTACTAAATAGCTGATGTGCGTATAAAGGACAAGAAAGAAAACAAAAAAAAAACACTGAGGTTTTGCAGCAGCGCCAAAACAACCTTGATTGTCTTACTGTAGCCTTTATTGCGTACATTAGCTACATCAATAAGTCGTATCGGTCAACTATCAAGACGCTCTTAAAAGCTGGTATCGTCGGTTCGACGTCCGTAGACATGAACGTCCAAATGTAGATTTGGGGGGTTACATATAGGACAAGGGGTGTACCTTTATACACCTCCTATTTCTTAGAGTGTACCGTATTCTCGTGCAGCGGTTACCGGCTCATTCAGAAACGTTTCGGCGTAACGACATATGAGCCGCGAGTTCTTGCGAGAAGGGGCGCGAAGTCAATAACATAATTGCGACTGTGGTGTCCCCGGAGCATTTTTGACTAAGCGAACGGCGGCGATGTGGAGACGGCTGAAAAATAATGAAACAGACAAAGTTATTTTACGTCTTTGTACAGCACGACTTGGTGCCGGCGACTCGGTACTGTGGCGTGCATTTCCACATATTGTTTCACCTTATCGTAAACCGCAAAAGGATGCCACGAGCCTCCCGAGTCAGTTCACAACTCGGAGGTTTTCACGTGTCTTCCCGGTTGGGCGGTTGGACCCGGGAAGCGAGAAGTCAGGTGACAAGCTACTAGCTATGGATTGGCACGGGAAGCTCGTAAAGTCCATCGTGGAACATCCTAAGGTCAAAGGTTTCCTCGGAAACATACGGGAAACGCTCTGTTCGCTACATTTGCTATCACATTGAATAACTTTGTCTCCTTACGAAAGTTCTAACGTTTTCAAACGACTATGCCTCTTGGCATAGTCGCTTGATTATGACGTAAGGCTGAAGAGCTATTTTTATGTATTTCTGAGTATGTGTGTATCATGTGTATGTCTTTGTTTTTCTTTTCTTGTTGCTAAGCAATATTCCCCGAGGGAAGAGAAAGCAAACAAACATCAAAATAAGAAATAATAAGTCGGCGGCTTTTAAGTGTTTGTCCTGCGGAGAAAGAATCCGGAGGCGCCAAGAGGCGAAACAGCGACGAGCGCGACCGACACTCTGGTGCCGGTCGTCTGGATGACAATTGTCCACAGCAGCCCAAAACCCTTAGCCATGCCTAAAAAAAAAAATAACGCCTAAGTTTTAATAGCAACATGTCGCCCTAATTTCTTTTTTTACACCCGTTTTTGTTTTTATCATTTTTAGACCGCTTTTCACTGTTTTTCTCCTCTAAAGTCTAGTCATTCGAGAAAAAGTTTTCGGGTGTGCAGTTTGCGAGTACGGTCCGTAATATACCGTGACGGTGTCACTGCATGCCAGATGAGTGAGATCACATGTGATTACTGTACTTCGAACTGTTTCTGAGTGCATGTAGGACCTCTTAATTTCCGTAGAACGGTGATTGCGATAAAACGTCGAGATCACAACATGAAATTAAGCATGCATATATTTGTTTTTGCTTTCCTAGTTTCCGCAGCGCGGCTTCTGATTACCTTTTCTTTTAAATGCAAATGACGCGGTGTTGAACACACTTCTTAAACGACTTGAGGCTGGGGACTTTCCTTTTTAACCACCGGTTTAAATCGGTTCCCTCTTGGGGAAACCGTTAACCGAACAGTTATTTCGAATTCATCACTCAACCGGAACTGAACCGCAATAAATACAAAGGTACGAACCCGAACTCGAACCCAAACCGGAAGAGTGACCGGTTCGACTCCGTGGTGTTGTGTTAGCATTGCAACAAATGGCACGCGCACCGACGTCCCACAACATCCGCCTACAATATTGGCGCGTGCTTGGTAGGAATCCTTCTGCGCCAACCGCTTAACCGCTCATTTACACCGGAAGCGGATCCACGTTCGCAAAGTGGTTGCGAACGCGGTTGTATAAAGATCCAGTACAATCTCACGCGCACTCGATGACATCAAGTGCGCGTGCAATTGTACTGGATCTTTATACAACCTCGTTCGCAACCGCTTTGCGAACGCGGATCCGCTTCCAGTGTGAATGAGCGGTTAGCGCGATCCAACGTCCAACGCGTTTTTGTGCGCGCGTAGGTCGGGCGCTTTCCGGAAATTGCGTATTTCGTGACCTTTTTGCTGTTTCCGGTGTGCTTTCTGAGTCACAATTATGCGCGTTGTTTAGGACGGTCTGCTTTCGGGAGAGCGGAGAGCATCTACGCCAAACGGCGAAGAAACGCGGAGCTGGAACTATACACTCCGTGCGACGCGACTGGCGCGCCGCCGCGCGGCCGGTACCGAAGGTAGGCAGTGAGAACCCCAGAGAAAACGAAACCGAAACCACGTCGCGCACGTTGGTACGCGTTGAAGTCGGATCGGTGCGGTTGCGCTGGGTTCACAGCATGAAGTGCTGCCTGTGCTGCGTCATTAAGTGCTTCCATAGTTATGCGTCGTATCTCGTGGGGACAAAGTTTCACAGTTTTTCAGCTTGCCGATGTTTTGTGGGACAGCGACAACGATGGAGCCGTGCCGTACGACGCGAGAAATTTGGTCTCTCGATCATGTCTGCCACTGTGTCGGCACGGCTGACATATTCTACACTGCCGCTTGGCGCTCTGCGTTTGTTTTCGTACCAGTAACGCCTACATGTGTCAGCGCCGATGGAACGAAGTGAAATGCCATCCCACACTCGCGGGTATGCAGTGCCAATTTCGTTGGAGGAATGCCCTCCAAAGAAGTTTCGTCCCCATCGTACGTGTCGATGATATTTCCGGACAAGTATGGCACGCAATCTGTACTTCATGAAGAAAGATTCGAACGGTAAAAAAGTGACAAATATAAGTCTAAAGAAAACAACAATGAAACTCGAAATCACTGGAGAATCGACGTTTGAGTATGGAAGTTTATGTGGTGTGCTTCCTTTCTTGATCAGCCTCCTTTTAGATGATGAAACGCTGACATCCCCAGTTCTGTAGACAACATTTTTTTTTTCTCGGCTTTAGAGCCAACTATCGCAAAGTGGTTCGAACTGGGAGTACCGTCCACTGGTCCCTTCCTACCTCTAAAGCGTGCACCTGCCACGATGAGTGATATTATCAGACAGCCTTTGACGGTCAAAGCCAGTTCCCATTTAGTTACGCCGCCACAGGTTTCGCTATGCCAACTCTTTTTGTTATAATAAGTGTTGTGCCAAGTTACGGTCATGTCAAAGTACCTGTGCGCCGAAAATCAGCACCTCGCACAACAGGTTATTACACAACAGATGACCGCAAAAGCCCTTGGCGGCCGAACCGTCTGTTGGCCGACAACTTTGTTTTCTCGGCTTTGGAACCACCTTTCGTAAAGTTGCTTCAATTGGGAGTACAGTCCACTAGTCCCTTCCTATCGGTAAAGTCTCCACCTCCAACAACGAGTGGTATTCTCTTGACAGCCCTTTCATGGTCAAAACCTGTTACCATTGAGTTACGCCGCCCAAACCAAATTTCCTCCTGGGTTCCCTCTGCCACCTCTTTTTGGTACAATAAGTGCTGTATCATGTTACTGCACCTGTGTGCCCAAATCTGCACTTCGCAGAGCCCGGTTATAACACAACATTTTGGGTCCAATATTGGATATCCCGTACAGCTTTATTTCTTTATTCGTTAGAAACATAACTTTCACACCTGCTGTCTTAATGAAACTTGGCACACTTCGTGCACAAACTTAGTGAACATCTCACTCGCCTCCAATATTATCGTTCCAACAGTCCTACGTTTACAGCGACGAGCGAAATAAATTTCCCACTCAGAGCAATTATGGTGGCGGCCATCTTGCTTTTCGGAAAATTGCTCCAAGTCCTTTTTCGGCCGCAACTAGAGAAATTACCCTTAATAACGACTCAAACTCAATATATAAGAAGCAGAGAACAGCTAAATGCCCTTCTGCCCCAGCACTCATGCAACGTCAGCCTCAACGTATCGGCTCAAAAAGCAAAAGTTTCGTCCGTGCGCGCTTCCGCCGCCACAACTTGGCATGCGAAAAGGCGCCGCAGGCTGCTGAACGCGCCTCACTGTCGAACGCCAGCTCCTCCGCTAGCGGCGCTGCGCGCGTTTTTCAAAGCGCCCCCTATAGTTCCCGCACGGAGTGTATAGTCAGTGATGTGTCAGGAACGAAGTTGAAGCTCCTCCCACTCATTTCCACTTTCGCAGAGCGAACGCATGAAAGAAGTGACCTCCTCTCCAGAGCTCGCTCTGCGAAAGTGGAAAGGGGTGGGAGGAGCTTCTACTTGGTTCTTGACGTGTCACCGACTGTAGTGCCCTTCAACAATTGTCCGGGAAAGGATATGGGAAAGGAGCGCCCTACTACGTCACAGCGCGTTTTGGTGCGCGTTCAGAAAAGGTTGAAATAATCCAACTTTCTCATGCGAGCCCGGAAGGCGCGAGAGATCAGCGCGACGTCACGAGATACGCAATTTCCGTTGGGCGCATGACCCACGCGCACACAAAAACGCGTTGGTTTGGATTGTGTTTTAACCAGTTCCAAAATACGCTTAATGGCCTTTGCGTTAGAACTGCCTACGACGGACGTAAGCTCTCAGCGAACCCTTGAGGAGGGCCTCTAACCACCACATTCAGTGCAGGGGAACGGAAAGGCATAGATGGATAAATGACTGTGGCTGAACCCTTTTAATAGGGCGGTGGCTTGCGCCACCTATCCAAACCTTTTAGTTGAACAATTTATTTATTTTTGATTAAAATGAATAAATGAATTAAAAAGTACCGTTAAGCTTCTTAGCACTATAACAGTGTCCGCAAGTAGTTCCAGCTCCGTCTACATGTGCACGCGCAAACCGCTCTCGCAAGTGCAGTGTGGAGAACGCATTGCTAACGCAAAGCCACAGTGCTTGCGTTTGGTCAATACGCAGTTACAGAGCTCTCCATTATTACTTGAACATGCTCTTGTTGCCTATACAACACGCTCTTGATGCATTCCTGCGCGAGTACCTTAAAAGTAGGCTCATGCAGTCAGCTCTAAACATTGTGTGTCCCTGACGTGTACAAGAAGGAGGTTTATATGTGCAACTTATTGACGAGCGTATTCTTAACTAGATCACAGATTCCGGCCTGCACATTTTAAGACTCGGCACAGGTGTGTAGAGGTGTTATGCTACGTGATCTATAGATCCCCGAGAGGCCCTGACGTACGTCGCTGTTTGGCACTGCTGTCGTCATGGCGCATGCGTAAACGCTTCACTTAAAGCAATTTTTTTTTCTTTGCGCGCGTGTTTAGTTTGTACGCCTGGTATGATCAAGCGCATGATATTCTTTGTAAAGTAGAGGGTTTTGAGTATAATGGTCGGAACTAAATTAAGATATTGTTATATTGAATGGGTTAAAACAGCGCAAAAAAGACGAAGGACCAGTAAAAGGAAACACACAGACACAGCGCTGTGTCTGTGTGTTTCCTTTTACTGGTCCTTCGTATTTTTTGCGCTGTTTTAACCCATTCAATATGACCATCAACCAACTCGCCCAACTTTCCACCTTGTTTAAGATATTGTTAACTAAAAATGAAAGAACCGGTCCGAAACTTCGGTTGCAAAGCCGCGTGTATACAATTCATTTTGAGTGTTTTTTTGTTCCAGCTACTCCGATCAAATCTTCGATGGCATCGCTCCTGGGTGAGTTGCTTCGAGTTTACTCGTTAATGCGAGTTCAGATACAATCGCGAGAGTTGGTATAACCTGTTCGATTCAATATAACACAGTGTTGTCTAAACAACTTTACGTTTCACTAGCTGAGCATGCGTAAGAAACCATGTTGCAAGTATTAAATCAATCTTTCTAACTCTGCTTCAAATCAGAGTGGAATCATTGTTATTATGAAACTAAATTCCTTCTTCCTTTCTTATTTCACAAATTTATCCAACATTTTAAATTCTTTTTACAGTGGCAGTATCGGAGATTTCGGCTAGATTTGCTTTTGTGGTCGCACCTAGAGGTACCGAGTGTGTGGGTGAAAAGAGAAGCATGTTTTTCTACTGCTAAGCTAAACTACGCATCGCGGAACACTGAGTCTCCGATTACCTGTTTATCGAGAGCAGTATGAAGCAGATGCCAAAGTTTCAGAGCCTACCACTATCCAATGCAAAAGCATTAAATGATTTTTTTTTCATCCAGAAAATGAAAGACGCCTACAATTCTCTGTAAATACCGAATTGTTGCGCACCTCTCAAAAATAAGGAGGCGAGGGAACAAAGGGAAGGGACCTTTCCCCTCTGTACCCTATCCACGTCCTCTCCTGCTACCCCCCCATTTAGCGGGAAATTTTCGCTAAAGTTAGTGAAAATGACTCCGCTAAATTTGGCGGGGAAATATTCCCGCTAAATTTAAGGCGAAATATTCCCGCTAAATTTGGCGGGAAATTTATAACCAGTTTCTCGGGAAACTTAACTGGAAACTTAGCGAAGATATTCCCGCTAAATTTAGCAGGGAAACTGAACTGATGTTGAGGTCACCTGATGCAATTTTCCTCGCTAAATTCAGCTACAAAATTTTACACTCATAACGTCACACTTGACGTCACGTGTTGCGTCATCATGGGAAGCGTCCCATAATGCAACGTTTCATAATGACGTCACACCTGACGTCGCGTGTGACGTCACGAGGGTAAAATTTTCCCGCTAAATTTAGCGGAAAAATCTTCTCGCTAAATTTAGCGGGAAAATTTCCCCGGTAAATTTTGCGGAAGAATTTCTCCGATAAATTTAGCGGAAAAGCTTCCGCGCTAAATTTAGCGCAAAAATTTTCCTCAAAATATAGCAGGAAAATTTCACCCTTGTGACGTCACATGTGACGTCACGTGTGACGTCATTACGGGAAACGTCCCATGATGCAACGCGCGGTCACGCCGACGGGGACGGCTACAGCGAGACGCCGCTTAGCCCCGAAACGGGCGCCTAAGAGCTGCACTCTAAAAAGGAGCGTTCCTTGTGGTAAAAGTAAACATTTCGGTGGAACTCCACCTGGTTAGGTAAGTAATAGGAATTGGTACCTTGTAGAACTCTAACCATTTTCTTCAAAGTGCCCGACGTTTCGAAGCCGTCTCGGCTCCTTGCTCACCGGTGACTGTATGTGGGCCCCTCTGCTCTATCTTAGCACACTTTCCTTCTTCCGTTTTTGTTTGTGGCGTATCGTAGCCCGTGTTTATAGCTGCTTGGAAGCGTTCCGGTGGATCGGTTCAGATTGTTGTTTGTATTTTTTATGTGCCAAGATTCTTATAAAAGCTGCTTTCTCCAGTTTCGTTCTCCGTCGAGGTTGGAACTGCTGTCAAAGCCGATGACGTGGCCGATCTTCTGAGCATGTTCCGCCAGTACGTTCCATGTGCTGAATGCGACGCCTTTCATGCTGGAGAAACGAAGAGCTTTCCCGAACGTCTGCGCAGACATTAGTATGACGTAAAGAAGAAAGACATCGAAGGCAACGCGCTGGCGGAACATGCTCAGAAGACCGGCCATGTCATCGGCTTGGACAGCAGTTCCATCCTCGACGGAGAAAGAAATTGGAGAAAGTGGCTTTTATTAGAATATTGCCACATGCAAAACACTAACAACAATCTGAACCAATCCACCGGAACGCTTCCAAGCAGCTATAAACACGGACTACGGTGCGCCCTACACAAAAAACAGAAGAAAACAATGCTAAGGTAGAGAAGAAGAAGAAAACGGCATATTGCTACCTTTGGGCTCACATACAGTCACCCGAGAACAAGGAGCCGAGCCGGCTTCGAAACGTCGCTCACTTAAAGAAATTGGTTAGATTCTGCAAAGTACCCTTTCCTATCGCCATCCATCTCCCAGTATTAACGGGCACAAATTCTTCATTGAAAATTTCCCAAAATTTCTTCTAAATTTTTAATGAGGCTACATAAACTTGGTGAAAATTTATAATCTGGTCCCAACACCTAGCACTAATTATGAACGAAAACAAAGGCGATTTTCTTTTCACCCAACCATCCGGTGTATTGGTAGCCCGCACTGATTGAACTACGGCAGACTTCTAACGGCTGTCATGTCGTTATTTAGCTCCAAGATCCACGAGGGTCGATGTACATCGGCGCGAAGTCAAGCAAGAGGTGTCTATCATCTCGGATTCGGAGCACCACAAGAACATGTCCAGAGAACAGCTGTGTGCTTACCTTGTCATTTTTATGACTGCTGTAAGTATTAATTATAGTAATTCGTGTCAGTTATAGTAATTCCCATTCACCATGCGACGCCAAAAATCGCATATCGACTTTTCTTGTCAGGTCAGCATGCGATTTGATCAGACGTCAAATCCAACTCTCTCGTTTCGAGTGGTTCAGATAGTGATGACAACAAAGGAGGTGAGTGATTAGTCTTGTATTCACCCGAATGCCCCTTGCTTGACATTTATATGGCGCGGATGTGTTCCTAACATGCATCTTTTGGCGCATCGGAGCGAGAGGCAGCCAAGCGCGCAGCGTCATTGCTCGAGGTCGGGCGGAAACAAAAGCCCGCGGGCGCCTCTCATGGAGTGAACAAACGCAGCAAAGAGCAGACAAACTCGCACGCCATACTGTGAATGGCTGCTTTTACATGGATGCGACCGTAGCGCATCGAATTGAGAAAGAACCGATCACACGCGCCCAGTCCCTCTGTTTTTTTTTTTCTTTTCTACCCAATTACAGTCGTCATATATCGATTCGATAAGCTACTGTCGCATCCAAACACGTAGCCAGGGGGGGGGGGGGGGGGGCATGCCCCCCCCCCCCCAAATTTTCAATTTTGCTGGGTCCTCCCCTCCTCCCTCCTCCCCGTGCTGCATTCTGTCATGGGCCCCCCCCCCCCCCCCCCCTCCAACAAAATGCTGCCTACGTGCCTTGTCGCATCCATGTATCCGTGGCTACTAGCGTCTTAAAAAACGCATGGCGCGCCGCATCCTGGCCATCTTACTATAGCTTCTCCTCCAATGAGGTTGTGGAATCAGCCAATAAGGACGCTGCAGAAGGAAGCACGAAGCCAGAATTGTAAACATGACGAGCCATGACCTGCATTTCTGAAGCTTTCGGTGGCTGTATGATATCATCTCTGTGCTTAGTCTCTACGTTCATGTTACTATGAAAACGCAGAGACTGTCATTTAGGGAGAGCAATGCATAGATCTGAGCGAATGACGAAGCTTAAAATATAATTATATCTGAAACAAGACCTGATCGTGAACTGGGGCAACGAGGACGTGGCTCGTCGTGTTCATATTTTCCCTGCTCAAGTCGTATTTTTCAACTCTAAACGTACGCATTGTTTGGACGTGACGTCACTGCGCAATGCTGGTGGCCATTCTTACAATTGTCTAGAGGGATCGGTGGCCGAGTGGGCTAGTGCACACCAGCTCGGTGCACGTGGAGCGAAAGTTCGCGCTGCAGAACCCAGGGATCCTGGGTTCAATCGCCACCACTGTCCGTTTCGATCTGGATGAGCATCCGTGTGGTCGCGTATCACTACTTCGTGATGCACATTAAAGACCCCATGCTAGCGGTTGTACCGCGCTGGCTAAATTGCTCATCTACAGCTGGGTCACTCGTCGCCCGTTGAGGCAGACCAAGTTCTAGGCTGTATAAACATACACACACACACACCATTTTTTTTCCTAGAATTTTTTCTGCCCAGGAAAACAAATTCGATGGTCTGAAATGCACGCTCCAGTCTTAAGCACGCGCTCAGCAGCAAGGCCGTTGGTGCAAGTCATATGTTCTCTGCCTCGTCGTTCCTTAGGCATGTGTCCATCGTTGGCCGTGGTCGGTTAATTGTTTTGTGTGCTGCAGGAAAGTTAGCTCGAACACCTTATTTATGGAGCGTAGTGTGACATAATGTCAACGTGGATCGAAGAACTAATTGCCCCCTTGGTCGGAAAAAGTTTGGTGTTTCATGGTAAAAATGTTTTAGAAATTTTTTAAAAAAATGCGGGTCTTCCGCTGGAGTTCTTAAAGACCAGTGTTGTACGGAACAGCGTTCCAAGGAACGGCGTTCCTGGAACGCGTTCCTTTTAGGAGGAACGAAGGAACGCCGCCGTTCCATTTTGCATCGCTGGAACTGGAACGGGAACGCGTTACTTTTTTACTGGAACGGAAGAAGTAACGGCGTTCCTTTTTTCGTCCGGTGGGGTAATTTTTATTTTATTTCTCACAGGGAAAGTGTGAAAGTACAGAGACAATATCTTTACGGCGTGCAGGATCTCTTTAACTTTTTGGCTCTTAATATAATAGATTATTTTGTGTGGTCCTCGCTTGTTAACAGTTTTGGGTGCAGGAGAGCTGGTGGGTATTGATACTTTTTTGAGTGCCCGAAACTGCGCGGTACAAAAAGCAAAACTTCTAGTCGTAGGAAAAGACAAAGAAAGAGGGTTGTTTCAAACTCAGCTACTTTCTTTGGTTCCACGAATCCTCGTACACCTAGAAATCTTATTCCGACTACAGCCATTTTTGAACTTCAATAACGAGACCTACAATTACAACAAGATCACAGATTGCCAGATATCGGACTCACCCTTGTATCCCGAACATTATTCACTTAAAAGATACACAAAAAAAAAAAACCTTCATTCCTTCTCTTGTCCTCTACCTTCAAACTAAACAACCAATTCAACCTTCACAACGAAGTATTTGTAGCTTTCAAGACTGACTTTCCTAAAGCCCTACCCTTTCCTTCGCTTGCTCGTCTTGCGGACTGCAACATTGAGAAGCAACTGTTGTTAAGTTCTAACACGGGACTCTATTAAATTGAGCCTTGTGAAGTTGTTGTAAAACGCTCGTACAATGTTGGGTAAAAGGACATTTGGCTCGTCTGAATTGCCCACTACAAACATGGACATGATTAATAGCTGAGATTTTTAACATGAATATATCAACAAATGAAACCCCATTTCCGCGTGTTTTTTACTCCTGGTGCCCTTCCATCACGACATACAAACTCGTATGTTGACTATTATTGGGATAGATAAAAAAAACTGCTTGATTTAACTAAATATGGTAATTAGCAAAAAATACAAATGTAACGTATATGTAACGATACGTTCCATTTTTTAAGCTGTAACGGGAACGAGTTCCTTTTTCACAAATGGAACTTGTAACGGGAACGTGTTCGAAAAATCAGAAGGAACGAGGAACGAGCTTCCGTTCCTTTTTTTTTTAGGAACGTGTACAACACTGTTAAAGACCCTTTTTGGGGAAATTATCAAACAATATTAACGGTCGCCATTCCTTGCTGATATATCACACTGCCTGGTGATAGGGGGAGAAAATTGGCTTAGAAGGGCGGGAGGAATCCCATGTTTGTCTTTTTAGGCTTAGGCCAGGTGGCGCAAGCTACGACCGTTACAAAGGGTAGGGCCATTAACATCCATCCATTCATTGGGCACGACGCTTGTGATGGGATCCGAGTAATCGCCGAACACTGGCGCACCACTCACTCTCGATACAGGTTGAGCCGAGGTATCGCCGAGACATTGTCGCGGCTTTAGTTTCAATACATGCTCAGAGCCCGTGCCCAAACAATGGCTGACTCAGGTAATGGGCATAGCAGCTATCTAGATGGCGCGTTCTTTTGAAAAGCGTTTCTTGTCTTCACAAAGTTGCGACTTTCTAAAATTGTAGTCACGCAATTTAGTGGTACAGCAACGAAATTTTGGATATTCAGTTCTACAATCTGTATGAGAACAACTTTTTGTTTACATTAATAACATTGACACTAAAGTTTTACTTCTAAACAAAATGTGGAAAAGGCTGTTTACTACTTGTCGAAATGTTTCGGACAAAACAAATGAAACGAAGACACTTAAGACTGCTTGCGTGTAGGAATGCCAAAGCATTCCTACACGCAGCGCATTCTTACAAGCAGCGCGCCAGGTCTTCCTTTTGCACACGGCGCTCCGGCGGTGACGTCACGCTCCCTCACTGCGCAGGCGCGGCGAAACCCGCCGACTCCACTGCTTCCGTGACGATGCATCTGCGTTGCTCTGCTTTTCTTTTTGTTTTGTTTCTAAGGCGTGTCCGCTTTGACCTTGAGCGCCCCGCCGGCTTCCGTGACGAAGCATCTGCGTTGCTGTGCTTTTGGTCAATGGGATGTTAGGTGCCGCTTCGCTCAGCCAATAGAAATTTAGGTGCCGTTTTTTGCTATACTAAAGACAACGGCTACAAACAACGCCAGCTTCGTCATGGGAGAGTTAATGCTTTCGCATTCAAAATTATTCTACACTCCGAAATTCTCTACCAATCAAAATTCTCAAAGCGAGTAAGATACATAAATCCTGGGTTACTTACCCTAAGCGAAAATAAATAAGACGTAAAGGCAGAGATTATAAAAGGTACCAAAGGAGTCTGTCTGATTCATCGAAGAAAAATTTTAAGGATGATTCAGGAATCTTAAGAAAAGATGTACAAGAAAGCAAACTTACTTTGGATGCGTCTTTTCAAGAGGATGTGATCGAGAATTCTGGAAATGTGTGAAAAATAACAAAAAGATAATGCAGGCAATTTAATAAATAGGGACATTGAAAAAGCCAAATATCTTTAACTTTATTTTAAATCAGTTTTCACGCCTTTTGTTTTAATCCTATCGTTCTTGTGTCTGGTCAGACAATAGAAACGGTCATGTTGGATATGATATTCGAAGTAGATGGGTTTTACTAAGAGGCATAGACACGTCCGAATTTTGACGACCAGATAGACTTTCCCCAAAAATTTGTCACAATTGCAGATACCTAATTGCTGTGTATTTACATATTATTTCGCTAGATACTGGTTTAATCCCGAGTGACTGGAAAAGTACAATTATGTCTCCGACTTTTAATTCCGGTTCAAGAAACCTGGTAGAACATCATCGCCCAGTGTCAGTTACAGACATTTATTGCGAGCTTTTTAAACATAAATTATAAAGCTCGATGTATAGTCCCTTATATTCAAGTTGTTTATTTTCACCAGCAGAGCACGGATTTCGTCGCGGTTACTAATGTGTCATACAACTGGAAAATTTACCCGTTTAGTTTCGAATGCTATTAACAACAAAGAACGTGTAGATTATATATCTTCAGACTTTTGTAAAGCCTTCTATACCGTGCCAGATTATTTATTATTAGAAATATATATTTCTCTAATTATCAACAACAAAATGTTCAACTGGATTACTGACTGCTTGTCCGGTCGTTAACAAGGTACCGTACTGAAAGGCCAGAAATCTTCGTCAAATCTAGTAGGCTCAGGGGTACCACACGGAAGTGTGCTGGAGCCCTTGTTATTTCGTTTCATTATCAACGACATTTTTGAAGGTATACAATCGAATGTGAAATTATTTGCGGACGTTTATGTGGTATTGTTACGATGCGATGTTATCGCTTATCGCTGTCGCGGCCGCAGCAGAACTGCTGAGTCAGGGGGGCGTACCTCTGGTGCTTGCTGCCGATATAAGCGGCATCGCCGGCAAGCTTTGTGCTCTTTTGGTTCCGGCTGCCGAACAATAAACGCTGCCAAATAAACGTCGGTCTCCGGATTCGTCGATTCTCCCGGAGAAACGTAACAGTATACTGAATAGTTTAACATGACACAGATGCTTGCGTACTTCAGGGTGATTTAGAAGTACTGCAACAACCTTGCAGTACTTCTAAATCGCCCTGAAGTGTGACCGCAGGGAAATGAGGTTAAATATAAAAATTTTAAATACGAGTGTTCTTTACGTGGTATGGCTTGCCCAACTGCATATGAACTGAAAAATGTCATACTTGAATATGTAGGCAGCTATAAGTACCCAGGGGTTTATCTCTCGTCAAGTTTAAAAAAGGAGTAACCACATCGGTAATACTTTTGCCAACAATAGTAATATGTTGTGCTTTGTCCGTAAAAATCTTAAAAATACACTAAGTAGCGTGAAACAGGCATTATATTTGTTTTGATATGTTGTCGATTCTTGAATATTCGTGTTTTATCTGAAACCTGCCGCAGAGTTACGTAATACAAAAGTTAGAGAAGTTTCAGAGTCAGGCATTAATGTTTATGACTCGAGATTAAAGCCCATAGACAGATGTACAGGAATGAAAAAATAAAATTGGGTTGGGTCCCTCTTATACATCGGAGAAAGTGTTTAAGTTTTAAGATCTTATACATCGGAAAAAGTGTTTAAGTTTTAAGATTCTATCTCATAGTGTATCACGGGCAGACAGGTATTGACCGAAGTTTGTATAAATTGGAGCCGCATCATGTATCTGCAAGATTGAATCATTCTAACGAATGGCAGAGTTTCGTTATGGAACTCACAGTTTTTCTCCATCATTTTTTGTTCGAACTATTAGGGAGTGGATTTCACTTTCAGATGAGCTAATCTCGGTTTCTGATGACGTTTTTTTATAAGAGATTAGAGAGTTGTATTGAAATATAAAAATATATTCTTCGTTGTTTTTCTTTTTGTGTGTGTCCATTAATGTAGATGTTCATTATGTGTACAAAATCTATGTACAACACTATGCCTAACATTGTATTGAAGTATAGGAATGTATTATTAATTTTTTTCTATGTGCCTGCGCACGAATTTTTAATGTATCCATTATGTGTAAGCAATCCATATACCCACCAGCGTAATGTCTAATGGCGCTGCAGGTACCTGTATAAATAAATAAATAAAACAAAAACATGTAAATCACCGGTCTGCCTTAAAGGGGCGGTGCGACGATAATCAGTTGGAATATTTTTCACTTTACGCGAGCTTACTGCCACTAGTGGGACTCAGGGATGCTCGCACGCAACGTTACTGGCTAAGAAACATCTTTGTTGCGGTGTAATTTCAAGGACAAAAGCGTGCATTTTAATTCGGTCGTCCAAAACTTGATGACATATAGCTGGGTGGTCACAGTACCGCCCAGTGACGAGATTTGAATGCGGCTGATAGACTGGACCCCAGCATTGCGTGGATACTCGATTTTGGCTCGTGATAATCGATCGCCCGAGAAGCATTCGGGTAGTGGCCCGTTTCCAATCGCTGCAATGACGACAATAGCCGAACCATAACAATGCCTGGAACCGCGTGACCTGTGCCTTGCCAACCCCAGCGCGTGGTTATGATCAACATTGGCGGCATATAATCTGCTCCAGATCACGTGGCCGCTTGTTCTGGCTGCGAGTTGACGGGGTGAACGCTGTTCGTTCTTCTTAAAATTTTTTTCTGTGACTTCGATTGTGTGTGGTGAAAAATGTACGGGTGTTTTACATGTGATTAACGTCAGGGATTCATCCGTTCTAAGCGGTATTTGCGCTAAGTACAAAAATCGTTGCATCGCCCCTTTAAGTATGCGTGATTTGCAAGATTGTTTCGCCGACACATCTCATGTTGTTTGCAATTTCGAAAAACTTGAAAACTAATTTAGTTTAATAGTTCTACGAATGGGAAAGCCATCGACTAAGGAACAGTAATTTTGTGTACTTTGCAAACAAACAAGCTACTGCGAAATTTGTTAGAAATTAAATATATATATATATATATATATATATATATATATGTGTTTGTGTGTGTGTTTCACATTCGTTTTGCATGCGTCCCTTTTGTTCCCTGCCGCAGCAAGACCTATTGTTCCTTCATATGCACAATGAATACGTGGAAGCCTATGCTACGGTAAAGCAAATGTATGAGTTCACGAGGCAATACGAAAACTCCTATCCCGACCTATTTTTGGCGTTGTCCGGGTAAGTAAAACATTCGATTCGTACCGAAGGCCATAAAACAATTTTTTTTACAGAAATAGACCGACCAGCGGCTCTAATCACATCACATTACAGCGGTGGCGCTGCTGTAAGCATGGCGCCATTGCCATATATGGGGGAAGAGTCTGGACAGCTATTGTCCTCGGTGACCTCTCGCCGTACCTTCGCTCCTCCCAGACTACTCTCATAGAACTGACGTCACGCCTAGCAACCGCCTAGCAACGGGAAACGCCGGAGGGACTATGGTACCTAAAAAGACTGGCTAGTCTCCCGTTCGAACGCCTGCCTCCACGCAGCGAGATGGCAGAACTGTGGTTGAAACTGCAAGGGGCGCTGCGCGTCGTTGTAGTCTCTACGTGCCTCGCTCACTACCTTCTTCAATCTCAACAACTTTTTTGCGACAATCATTGTTGACTTCTCTACCTTCTTAGCAAGGACAGATTCACATTTGCTAAGTTTTGAGTTCCATGCCGTGGCGATACCAACAAGCATACTAAAGCTCTTCATCCTCCTGCTTCTCCGTCTTGACCCCAAAGTTATGAACAGCGAGAGGGGAGCAGGAAGGGGGGGGGGGGGGAGGGGAAGGGGGGGGTATCGATGGCCGAGTGCGCTAGCGCGCACCAGCTCGGAGCACGTGGAGCGAAAGCTTCCGCTGCCGAACCTGCAGAGATCCGGGGCTCAATCCCCACCCCTGTCCGTTTAGATCTGGATGAGCATCGTGCCGGCGTGCAGTCGTGTAACGCTACTGCATGATGCACGTTAAAGACCCCAGGTTAGCAGTAGTACTGCACTGGCTAAATTGCTTACCTAGAGTGGGTAACAATGTCGCCATGTTCTGGCAGACTAAACTCCTGCTGTATAAACAACTAACAACTAATTTGACCTTTTCTTTCTTTTTTTTTTTTTTTTGGGGGGGGGGGGGAGGGGGGAGCAAGGCGGGAGCGGCTGAGGCTTCTAAAGGCCAGGAGGTGTAAATATTTCATCTGTGAAGTGCTTGATGGCCTGTGTCAGTGCTTCTTTTTTTGTTTTAGATTTCTTAAGTGGTTTGGCAACTGCCAAATTCTATCACGCCGATTGCTCGCAGCGCCGACACGCTCTTTCATTCCGGAGCAGTTACCAAGGGGGGCAGTGGACGGAAGACTATACTCCGCTTCATAGCGTGCAACGCTGTCAAAGCTACTGGTGAGCGAGCGCGTGGCTTCATCTATGGTTTTGTTTGCGCGAGAACGCGTGCAAATGATCAACGAGATCCAGCCCCATGCTCACGCCACTAGCTTCGACGGCGTTGCACACTCAGCATGAAACAGAGTATAGCCAGCCTTTTTAGGGACCATAGGGGAACAGCGCGGGCATGTCCGCCATTACCGATCCCAGGCCAAAGCTCATGCATATAGGGCCACATGTTAGAGAGTTTTAGTAGATCGTTCCGATACCTCCGATAGCCCCGATAACGATACTATGCATGCACAAGGAAGGCGGTGGCGGAGTATTGGGTATCGTTATCGGAGTCATGGGAACGATCTACTAAAACTCTCTAGTATCCTGCGTAAAGACCATTATTTTTAAGTGAGGCAATGGTCGGTTGTTGTGGTGTTGGATGTTCCAATCACCACCGTCGCGGTTTTCATTCTCCCTTGTATGTCATTCTAAATAAGAAATGAAACAAAAATCTTTCGCAAAATATGGTTGAATAAAATGGAGCGCCACAATTGTGGACGCCCACGGAAGGCTCCCGTCTTTGTTGAGGTAAGAATGCTTCACTCTAAAAGAAAAGGGAGTATTCTTAGACCTTTTGTCCCATATAAGACACCCCAAAACTTCAGTTCGACGTACAGCACACTGACGTCGAGTTGAGAGTATTACTTTCACCAGAGGCTTGATAGCCGTGTGGCTCAACTTATAAAATACCCAATGTACGTGTTACTGACTACGAAAAAAAAAAAACAATCGGGGTTTTCTTGGCTTTATACTGCAAAGGCTCCGTGTTTTCTTTATATGGTCTTTGATACGTACTTTAGCTATTTAGTAAGTTATATTGCACCGTTATCAGGCCTCTCGTAAAATATGGGGCCGTCTGTTCGACTATGGGCGCTCTATGTCAAACTGAATGTTGGGGTGCAATATAAGGGACAAAAGGGTGTAAGGTTATACCCTTTTTTTAAGAGTGAACTATTTCACCTTGGGACGCTTTATAAAATCGAGATTTCGTCGCACTAACGACGAAAACTAGCGAACTTGTTGCTACACGAAGAACGGATGTAACATTGTCGCGCGCGCAGCCGGCCAAGTAGGCAGCGCGCGCGTGGCCTAACGGTCATCGCGCGTGGCCTAACGGTCATAGCGCTTGCCTTCCACGCAGAAGGCCAGGGTTCGATTGCTGGCCGCGGCTACACATTTTTGTTGACACTGTAATGTAAGGTTCTGGTGAATTCGAGAACCGTCTTGCTGATTCGAGGTTAGAATGTTCTACGCGCCGAACCTTCTACGCCGAACGATCCGGAAACCCACGAGGGTACATAAGGGATTCCGCAAGGCGAGCGGAGTCAGTCTCGCCCCACCGTTCGACTCTGCTGCTACGCCGACTTCGACGCCCGTGACGCTGTTATTATCTTTTGTACCCTTTTATTTTTGGCACAAGTTCGCCACATTAAACGTTTATTTCTTCCTGTTTCTTTCTTGTTTTTTTGGTCACCACCCGTGACAATATGGAATGTGAATAATTGCGGCACGAGAAAGGGACGTCCCGTCTGCGAAGCGTTTTTCCCCTGCCTTCTTCTCCAAACTGCGAAGTGAATGAATTTATTGTTTGATACCTTCTAATAAATGTTTTTTTTTTTTGTTTTGGTATGAAAAAGCTGGCTTTCTTGTGTTTCTATCTTCCTTTACTTTTCATGTGAGGACATGACGATGGCTGCTGGGATCTCACCGCGGTTAGGAACGGCCAATCGTTTGACTTAAATCGAGTAAAGCGAGCCATCTTACCATTCGCGAAAAGCCGCCTGATGCTGAGTCGCTCGATGTTTATTTCGTAACCTTTCGCTATGAAACAGACGGCTCTAACGTTACAACAAATGTTAGTCCCGGCAACGTTTTTAATGCCAGCAAACTCGCACAACCTTCATTTATTTTGTTTATTTCTTCGTAACCTTCCGGCTTTTTAGATGCTTGAAGAACAAAATCGGCTCTTTCATTGCTGAGAGAGTTCGGTGGAGGAAAACGGTAATCATGCACGGCGTCGCCATCACATATCAGGAGTAGCGATCGCTTCGCTCAAGCCATCTCGTTTGACACTTTGACGCATAGTCAATAGGAAAAACAATTAGGAAGGAACGAAACGCCGGAATACTCTCGGACGAAGGGCTTTAGTTAACTTTACAATCTAACAAACAACACGCTCTCGTATGCGCTCGCTTATCAGGACACTCTACGGAAAGCCCCTCAGCTGCGATTTAGAAGTTGCTACCATTGCGCACTGCTACAATAACAAGAGGCGTTAACCAGAACTAAGGTTTGCAAAATTTACGGGAGCGTGATTTGCGCGACACACCGGCCGTCCTCGAAGCCAATGGACGGACTGGATAACCCGGCGCGTACGAAGGGAGAAGAGACAAGAAAACCGGAAACTAAAATAATGTGGCTTCTGAATAAACACGGCACACTCCAAATACTGCTAGCGGATGACTTAAAACACAATAAAACTTTCATACGCGTAGGAGGCAACCGAGAGCCAAGCCTACGGGCATGGGTCTCCGCGCTTGGTTGGGCCAACACCTCCTAGACAGCTTTCAATAGCCTGCGCGTCAGGTGACGTGACGTCACGTCTGGGAGGCCTGCACGGGCGCTGATTGGATGCGAGTGCCGCGTCAGCGTTCGCGTGGGACTCGTTTCCTATCATAGTCTCACGCGAAAGCTGACGCGGTACTCGGACCCATTCAACGCCCGTGCAGGCCTCCGGGGCGTGATGTCATCTCATGTGACGCCCAGGCTTGAAATCTGTCTAGGTGGTGTTGGTTAGGCTCGAAGATGGCGAAATGGGCGTCGACATGGCATTTTCGTGGCGTGTCAGTGAGATAGTTGACGAGCTGTCAACGAAGCCACGCCATGTGGCCAAACTCTCCCTTATATGTGGTTCTGCATGGCGCATGCGAACGCTATCGGACCCTCGCGCCCCGAATCTGCGATCGGGCACTCTATGGCTCCGTCGTCGAACTGCCAGGACTTCTGAGTATAGAGGAGGCTATGACCTGTGCGATAATTACGCGGAGAAGTGGCTTTGAGAACGCAGACGCGTCCCAGGCACCACTCTGGGACGCGGTTTCTTCCCCCCGTGTGTCCGCGTTATCTGTGCAGAAGTACGCTGCGTGGAACGCGTCTCTGACTGGTGTATTTAGCGTCGTATGCAGCCCATACATCAAAGTGATCCCGAAGTGGCAACAAGTGAAGTCACCAAAGCCGGCATGTTACTGGTGTTACGCTATCGGATGTCGAGATCCTGGCAGTAAGTGTTAGAAGTCCCGGCAAGAAGTAGGAGCGACCGCGAATGTCGCTATCGTCGCGGCGTCCCAATTCCCGGTTGCCGAAGCTTCCCTAGACTGTCAAGATAGAGAGCGACCTCCAGCAGAATAGGCGTCTACCACATACACCAGAGCTGCTGTCTCACCGCCAGAAAAGCGACCGGCGAGAGCATGACACTTTGATGACGTCACCAGACGGAAATCGAAGGACCACATATAACGGCTAAGGAAACACAACGGTCCGAAACGCGTTTCAGGCACTATGCGAAGAGCAAGTCGCCTGCTTTTTGCACAGGGGTTCCGGTGACGTCAGAACGACGCCGAGTTCTGATCAGCTTTGGCTGTAGGATTACGGGTAGACGTCAAAGCAAGCTGTCTTGAGGTCTACCCACTATTCTTCAATCAGAGCCAAACAGAGCTCGGTGTTCTGACGTCATCCCAGCCCCTACAAAAGATGCAGACGAACTT